AGAAACTCAACAATTTTATCTTTATCATTTAAGAACATCACTTTTATCTTTTTCGGGTCAGAATATGAATACGCAGTTCCAGCTTACAGGTCCGACGGTTTTCGTATACACTACACACTGCAGTAAAAAACCTAACAACAAAACATCATTCTTATTCTAAAATCAAATTTTACCGTTAAAACACTTTTAACTTCTATTAAAGACCATAATGCACCCTTGGTGACAGATGTAAACTCGAATTTGCAATAATTATTTGACGTCAAGAGACTTATGCCATCATCCCAGTACAAAATTCCTTTCGCCATAGCTAGGCTATCAGGTTGTATTTCAGCTGAAAATTTCTTTTGTTTGTTTTTTATTCCTCTTCAAACATGCACCAAATTAACCAGTGGAACTCACGGAGTGCTACAATAAGTCTCAGTGGATTCTGTCTCGAAACATTCGTCGTTTGTGCTGGCTCTTGCGACGGTATTATAGTACCACCTAAAAGCAGCATCTACTTCACAAAAAAAAAACAGAATAGCACTGAAAATGACCAGTTACATTGTTACAAAAAATTTTATTCCAAATTCCTGTCCCTTTCTCAATTTCAAATTTTCTTGGTCAAAATAACAACGAATCATGAGATGAAACAAAATTGAACTCACCTGACCACTGCTGGGCAAGAGTTAGACTGCTGACCTACAAAGTATACATTAAAAAACTAAGAATATTCTTTACCGCGAGCAAATACTGGAATCATTTGCTGCCAAGTAGCACTCAAATTGGATCCATCAATAATTTGCTGACCATAATCTTCGTCACGTAAAGAATACCATTTACTGGCTGACGGAAGATAACCACTGACACTGGTTTTACCCTAAAAATAACCGAAAAAAGCCAATAATGGTGACATAAAAGAAAACTAAAACGTCTTTAGTTTCTAAAATGAATTTTCCCGTGTGCTGTGAAACTAAAAAAATGATTTTCATTACAGCACAAAAAACTCCTACCATTTCATACACAGGAATTATCATCATTGCGTTACCCCACATAAACTGCATTCCAAGTTTATGAGTTTGAGGATCATTCTGGAATTCAAAGAACACGGGTCTAATAACGGTTCCACCGTTCAAGTGAGCTTCAAAATGTAATCTAAACAAGAAAATCTTTCTTCAAAAAACTATTTGAGATTGTGAAAAATTTGTTGAGTTATTACACTGAAATAAACAAGTTCGTGAAGGCAGTTCCACTGCTATAATATTATTCTCAAATTTGAGAAGTAGACCGTTCCTAAAAGTTTATTAATTTTTGAAGCTAAAGCTTACGAATATACGTATGGAAGATATCGGTAACGGAAAAGTAACGCCTTCTTTGCTGCTGCAGCCACTGTGTTCCATTGAGCAGGATCTTGTCGTACGTACGGCTTTCCATTATGATTTCTGAAATAGAAAATTAGCATTACAGTTCTTTACTAAAGGAAACGAAATTCTCAGCATAAACACCTTTGCTAAAAAAATACATAAGATGCAGTGTTTCCAACTTCCGATTAAACATGAAAGTTCAAGAAAACTTTGAGCAATAAATCAACCACGAACAGTTACTTTCAAAACAATTTGTGTGCTCAGTTCTTCAAGTAGCTGTTCACCTCCACTTATTTCTTCCACCACACTGATTGTGTTATAAAAAGCGCATAAATCCATTCTTTCTTTACTAAGACAAATGTGTCATTAAAAAACTAAAACCTTGAGAAAGTGTAAAATGCTCCAGCTTGATGCCAGCGTAAACAGAGCTCCTCAGTAGTGTTCAGATGAAAACCGCATATGTCGGCACCAATGTATGGAATACCAAATATGTTATATTCCTGAATACCGACTATTGATGTTAATAAGTCACCCCACGTTGCACTGTTGTCGCCGAGCCAATGACCAGCATATCGACCAGTACCCAAGAAATTTGCCCTAAACAATGCGAAAATGTTCAAATATGCATCCAGCAAATTGCTTTCTTTCCGATACTCTGAATTAAAACTGGTAAATCAAGAAAGCATTGTTCCTTTAAAAGTCCAAAAAAAGTTTGAATGCTGTTTGCACCCATTTTCTCGTAATGAAAAGTTAGTTGAAGCAAATTAGACTTATTATTTAAACTTAAAGAAAACCTGGTAATGATAGCCCCACGTTTACCAATCACTTGTTCGTGTGCTAAATGAGTTAACCGCGATTCATAGAGGCCATAAAGCGATTTGGTGTTGTACAAATCTTCATTTCCGTTGTTGGTACGTCCCAACATACAAAGAGTTTTATCAGAAATGTAACCCTGAATATGTTACATTAACACGTTGAAGCTTTTACTTTCCCAAAAATACCGTACATTCCTTATTGTGAATAAATGAAACAGCAAACTAAGTACTAAAGGAGATTTGCGAGTAAGAATGACTAACTGCAGTAGCGTTTCCATAGTAGTAAACGTTATGTGTTTTGTACTTTGGATTGTCCAACTTAGCATAGGTTCCGCTGAAATTACAGAATAAGGGTTTTATGGGATACGGGTGGTCCACGTCATCAAAGTACCATGGATGCCCCTCATTGGTACCAAAATTTGCTGGTTCGTTCATATCAATCCAAATACCGTCAAATGGATACTAAACTTTTTCGTATAGCAAGCAATCAAACAGAATAAAAGCGAGCTTAATTTTTTTAGACGCTTTGAAAGCTACAGACGCAAAGGTAAAGTAAAAGAGTCGAATAAATCTAAAATTTATAAAGCCAAAAGAAGTACTAAAATCTGACTTCTGACATTCAAGATTCATTTTATAACACATTTCAGCTCATCTTTTTGAACCTTTTCTATTTCTTTTCATTTAATTTGGTAATGTAAATAATTAATACCAGAAAAACAAATATTTGCTTCCTGTCTAACACATTTATTAGCCCCCTGAAAACAGCCTCGTTGCGGCATTCAGTTAGCCCACAAAAAACGACTGGCATACGAATAGTCAGCAAAACATAAAGTAGAACTTTGTTCATCTTTTCCTCGGATCCTCACATTTCCCTTCTTTCTTTACTACGCTCTATCTTGTTTCCACAAATCTTGACAGTGTACGGAACAGTTTTGCTTGTCGTCTAGGCAAAAAATAACCTTGTCATAAAACTGCTCGAATTCATGGATCCACCACTTCTGAGTGTTGTTTCTTGGGTCTAAGAAATCTGGAAATGCACAGTGATTGTTTGGCCAAACGACTCCAAGCATGTACTGAAAAAAAAAA